AAGAAGAAGAAGAAGAAGAAGAAGAAGAAGAAGAAGAAGAAGAAGAACTTTTTGGGGGTGAGGCTCCCGTCACATCTCTTTCTCATACTCGGGTAATCCCTTGACATTTCCCGGAGTCAGCTTGTCTCCACTTCCCAGGACTGCCCCACCCCTTAGTGGCTTAAGCGCTGGAGTTCTGAGGAAGAACTGGCGTTCTTCCTGAACACCAGTGGCGCTTTGTTCTCGAGTCTTCTAAGATCTCCCTTGACAGGTTCAAGTGATGAGTTCTATTCTTCACATAATTCTACCCTGTGACTCATCCCTTACTCTGGAAATGAACACCTTAGAAAAAAATTTTCTGACCCTCAGAATCTGACTCCCTACCCGGTTTCTTCACCCCCCCCCCCTTGCCTGTGTATGATTTAAAGGCATTACATGAGTTTTTAAGACAGAGTTCTAAGCATAGAGTTAAAAGATATATCTGCAAGCATGATACTGTGGCCCCACTATCTGGATCCTTGTGTCTTACACCGCAGAAACTATACCTTTTAGGGCAGCAGACCCTCCCCTTCCCATGCCCCACACCATGGCTGCTGCCTTCTGTTCTTTACTTCTGTGTGCTTGGCCACTGTTTTCCTCACTTGTACATGCTAATTTTTTGTGGAGCCTTGTTCTAAGTCCTATTTCTCAAATGTATATCCTCCCCCCAAGATCATTTCCTCTATGCTTTACAGTATGACACTGTCCTAAATTACTATTGCTATTTCAGATGTCAATAAGCTTTTAACCAATAAGCTTTTCTGTCCCCACATAGTGTGCCATAATAAATAGCATACCATTTATTATGTTCCAAAAAAAAAAGTTTTTCTTTTGGTGTCAGAGATTTAAATGTATAGAACTTCTGTATGCCCCGATCCTCATGGAAAAGTCTAAAAGCTTCTTTCTCCTCATGACTACTTTTATTATTGTTTCAGTAAGTTCATGTTCAAAGATTTTGCATGTGTCTGTTTACTGCTATCTATCACTTCTGTTACTGGCTGTTGCTCTTACCAATGTCACAGTGGACAAACTTGGCTCTATGCCATTCCCATATGAGCAGGTACATTTATGGATGGGAGTACCAGAAGTGGGGATGACAAATACAAAGGCAATGACCATGATTTGGGAGATGTTGTTCTCTTCAAACCGGTTGTATATGGCTCAAAAGAAAGTTGTTTTATGTTTGATGGCATGTTATACTATTGGCGCTCAGTCTGTGGGTCATGACCCCTTTGGGGTCAAATGACCCTTTCACAGGGGTCGCCTAAGACTGTCAGAAAACATATATTATGATTCAAAACAGTAGCAACATTACAGTTATGATGTAGAAACTAAAATAATGTTGCAGTTGGGTGTAATCACGACATGATTAACTGGATTAAAGGGTCACAACGTTAGGAAGGTTGTTGTGGTTTATTAATATTTATTATTGATTTATCGTTTAGTTAAGCAGCAGTTATTCTTAAACCAGCTGTATAGCCAAATCACCACACAGAGACTAGGATTTATTTAGTTAACATAGAGCACAATGCTGGGCAATAGTTATTCCATCCTAAACCTCCAAGCCCACATAGTTTCCTCCCATTCATATTTCACCCATTATACTTGCTTTTAGTCATATTTTAGGTCCTGTTCATCTCTCCTAGTGATTCAAAGTGCTCTCCTGTGGAGCCCTGCACTTCTACTCTTCCTGCTTCCTTCTCCTCCCCTCCAGACCAGGATGTCCCACCCTATTCTCTCCCTTGCTCAGCACTGTGGCTGGTTGTTTAATTGACAGCACAGAGACTAAATGGTGGCATATTTACACAAATTTGAGACAGGTGATGCTTGATGCAATGTTCAGATTGAAACCAGATAGTGGGGTAGAGAAATCAGCATTTGAATTAACAAGGGTAAATTCTATAAGTTCCAAAAGAACATTATACCAACAGAAGGTTGAGAAATACTTACTGTGTTACATCTTTAAGGGTTACATCGTGTAAGAATTGTTGAGATTGACTATGAGGCTGCTTGAGTTGGGCAGAAGCTTTGAAAAAGGTAAAATTGAACCATATTTTAATGCAGAGCACCATAGAAAACTCCACGAAGATGAACATGTAAAGTGCACGTGACCCCATGTGGGTTATAAGAGAAGCATGATGGATTCTGATAAATGCTCAGTTAAGAAAGCCTGTCTATGACCTGGATTCCAACTTTTTAAAGTTGAGAAAAGTAATGATATAAAAACAGAATTTCCATGCTAAAAGAACAAAAATAAAACAAAGCCAAACCAAACTACAGCATAAACTATGTTAAAAGGAAAATTTAAACATATTTTAAAGGAGAGCATATACATTAAAAAGTTCACATAAGTTGTGAAGAAAAATTCTTATATGAACAAGGAGAATACATATTCCAGAAATTAAAAAAAAACCCTTAAAGTATAAAAATGAAAGTAAATTAAAAGCAATTTTGAAATGTCTTTTCACACTCAATGGTTTTTGATAACATGCTGTGTAGGCAAGAATGTGATGAATAGAAAACTCACAAATTGTTAGTGACAAAAATTGTATGTGACCTTTGTTGGCTATAAATAGATCAGGTGCATGCAGGAATAGAATTTGTCTTTCTAAATTATGAAACCAATACTTGGCTATCCACATACTGATACATAGGCTTGTTTTAGTTCGTAAAATTTCATGTGCTCTTATAATGTCTACTTATCCTTTTGTTGCTCTTCTTTTTCATAACTTTTCCTATAAGCTTTTGAATCAGCTCCAGGAATTTAGCTAAATTTGAATTTAGATCCAGGAAATACTCTGTTGAGATTTTTATTTTTTAAATAGAGATCATAAAGTTGTAATTTAATTTAGGATTAATGTATGCATGTTGCCAATTTTTCTTAACTCATACTAGATACATGTTTCTTTCTGTGTAAACCTGCCTATCTGTTTTGGGTTTAGGTTCTTCTGAAGAGGGCAGGTCTTCTGTTGGGAAGTCATGGGAGGAGGAGAGCAAGGCTTTGGTAACCACAGTCGGGAAGCAGATTGCATGGTGCTGGCACACAGCCTTTGGGGCTTCTAGCTGAGCTTACCCCCTGGCATTTCTACACATTTCATTGCTTTAGAACATGACTTCTTTTATGTTATATGACTGGTTTTGTTTATGGACATGAAGAGTAGTGATACCTCTATTTAACAGTTGCTTCTCTCTTATTGGTTGGTTTGCTTGAGTTTTGTAAGCAAAGTCCAAGCAAACACAAATTGAGAAATTTTTCCCCCTTTGCAAGCCCTAGCTCCTGCCCAGGATTTCTTCAGTGTGACGTGAAGAACCTATGGTGACCTTGGAAAACCTATTATATTTCTGGGTTTAGCAATGATATCATCTACTTTTCTTGTTGCTGTGAATAAACACCCTACAAGAAGCAATTAAGAAGGGAAGAGTTTATTTTGGCTATAGTTTGAGGCTAGAGTCTCCCCTCATGAGAAAGTCACAGCAGGAGGAGAGTGAGGCATCTGGTTCTATTGTACCCACAGTCGGAAAGCAGAGAGAATATGGGTGCTGGCCCCAGCCTGTTTTCTTCCTACTCAGTCCTGCACCCCTTTCCATGGGATGATGTCACCCACTTTCAGTGTGAGTCTTCTCTTTTCATTTAAACCTTTTGGAGATATCCTCATACACACACATGCACAGAGGTATGTTTCCACTAAACCCACCAAAGAGTACCATTCCAGGAGGGTAGCTTTTGATGCTTTCCTCGTAGCATTGTGCTTATAAAATACAAGAGACTTCTGACTGAAACCACGTGTTTGAACGTGGATCATAAACCCACGCAGAGGTCAGGTTAGCTGTGGCTCTCACTTATCCTGGAGGCATAATGGAGAGTAGCTTCCTGTACACTGTAGTTGAGCCCCATGTTTTTAATCTCATCCCGTCTCCACCAAGGTCAAGAAACCAGAGCCAATCTTGGCAGGTCAGAAGTTATTTCTGGATTCTTCTATCCTGTTGGCTATGTTTTGGTTTTATCTGCAGACCCTGCCTTTCGATTCTTTTCTATATTTGTCAGTCCTTTGATGCTGTAGGATGTTTCAAAATCATGTTGTTCATTATTGCTAGTTAGTTTTTCTTACATGTCTTCATGGAAATGGAAGTTTTTTTTTTTTTTTTTTTTTTCTCTTGAGTTATTTCTCCACAGTGTTCACACATACCACACTCCAGTATAAACCTGTTTAGGTAATTTATTTACTTGAGGCAAATCTTTATTTTCAGTATTAGTCAGTTCTTTCCATTACTCAGAGACATACCTGAGAAAAAAATGTTAAAGGCAAGATGTATTCTTGGTCACAATTATAAAGGTTTTTGTTCATGGTTGGCAGACAACATGGCTTTCAGGCTCATGCAAGACAGGAACAGCATGGATGATGGTGGAGGAAGTCTATTTATGTCATAGCAGACATTCAACAAAAAGGAGTAAGATGAAGGAGGCAGGACAGGATCCATCATTCACAGACTCACCTCAGTGACCTGCTTATGTGAATCATGAGCCAACATAACTTTCCATGACCTCCTAACAATGCCATCAAATGTAGCATTCATTGATTAGGCCAAACCCACACCATGCAGCTTTCTCCCAATGATTGGATGTTTCACCCAGAAAGCATGCCTTTGGGAACCCACCTTATTTGTAAACCATAGGAGCTCCTTTTAATGTATAAGAGAGCGAGTCCACATAGGCTGTTGACACTATTCAAAAACTGTTCCAAACTTATTCCTCAGAATTACTTCATTTTTCTCCTTGTACTATACACATCAGCCACTATGTGTTCTCAATGTCCCTCCCTAATGCTGAGACCTTGAATAGAGTTCCTCATGTTGCAATACAAATATCTGTGTTTTCAGGTGGTCGGAGGCAACTCCTATGAAAGCGTCGCTCAAACCCCCAAACGGTCACAACCCACAGCTTGAGAACTGCTGCACTCTAGGTTTCTATTCAGGTTTCTGTCATCTGTTGTTCCGTATGTTGGCATTTTAAACTCTGCCATCTCCTGTCATGACTGCCTCATGGCCACTCTTCAGTTGACCTCATCTGGTTCCTAGGTGAGGCTGGCTTCCCCTCCTCTCCTATCAGCCTGTACTTTCCTGCTGTGGCATTTCCGTACCCTACCGAGCTTACAAACATTCTGGGGTTGCATTTTCATGAAGCTCATGCTTGCTACTGGGCTCTACTGTATAGCAGACATTCAATGAAATTTATTGAATATATGAATGAACTGATGTCAGGGACACTGTTTGTCTGAACTGGGCCATTCACCTGCACCAATAAGACTTCAGTGCAAGAACCATGTCCCTCCCTTAGAACAATGCTGCACCACTGCAGTTGTTATCCGGGCTTCCATCCTATGAGTCTGCAGCCTTGTTGCCATGTGTCCAGGTGACTGACTGCTGGTGAAGACCAGATAAGGCCACTCCTGCAGCTCTATGCCTCTCCTATGGCCGCTTTCCTGTGCACTCTGAACAAAACCTCCATTTCTTACCATGGCCTTTTAGATCCTATGTAACATGTTCCAGGCTTCTCTTTAAGTGTGGAACTGGTTTGCTCCCTCAGTTCACCGAGGCCCCAGCTTTCTCTGTCATCTTTCTCTGTTTCCTTTCTCCTGTAACTGTTATCTTTCTTGGCCGCCACCTTGGTGGGGTATGACATTTGTGCACTTGTCTCTTTTCCTCGCTGCACTGCAGTGTGACCCACCGTGGCGGCAAGGTCCTTGCTTTGCTCCCTGCTGGAGTCTATGACTGAGCCAGCACCTCCTTATCCCTGAGTGTTGGTTGAAGGAATAAGTGTCGGTTGAGTGAATGGCTAGATGTACTTGTCAATCACCGGGAACCATAGTCCTCAAAACATCTGGCTGTGCCCCTACCCTCTTGTCTAGGAAGCCTGTGAAAGTTCCCTTCTTTTACTTCCAATGTAAAAGTCTTTTTTGGGGGAGGAGTAGGCGAGGGTTTGTTAGTGTACGGGAGATTCCATGGGCTTGCTTTCAGAGACCTAGCAATTGCTTCCTGCGGCTGCCAAATGCGACAAGTCTGTGCTGTGGATAAAAAGGACTGGCCCGCCCCTCATGCTTTCTTTGTCTGTCCCAGCGTTCTCTCTGTCTGTCCTCTGCGGACACCCCTTCCCCTTTCCTCTCTGCCCTTCTTTGTCTGCCCACATGGCTCTGCTCCCATTTGTTTGCCTGTCTATATGTCCACCTGTCTACCTGTATCTTTTTCCAGATCCTCACTCCTCTCTACTCTTTCTTCTCCCCTCTCCCAATAAACACTTTTTTTTTTTTTTTTTTAACCAGGTTCCTTTGCCTGTGACGGTCCTGCCATGGGTATACCCCCTTACCGCATTATATTTCATAACAGAATCTATTTCAATTTTGCAAATAAAATATATTCTTTACCTTACTGGATCCCTCCTTAATACTTCAAATTGGATAATTACAGGTGCTTTAAAATAGAATGGAAATGAAATTTTTCATCCAAATCTAGCTGATTTTTGTTTTTGATAAAGGATTGAATGCTTAGCAGCATAGGTGCTGGTTGCTTTCCTTGCTTTTGGTCAAGGACTGTGGTGAACTGAAGAAAATGGAGCTCGCATCTTTCAGGAACATCCACAGAAACAGCCCACAACAGAATTAAACTTGAGTTTTCAAAAGCACAATCAGTTGGAATTAGCTCACTGCAGATCACTAAATCATTCACAGCATTTGAAGTCAAGTGTTTCCTGAAATGGCCTTAGATGTCAGTGCGGAGCAGTTGTGTGCTCAGAATGAGATCCCATGTCGTGTAGACTCATGTCTAGATTCTGCCAACCCCTCCCATGGCAGCCCCAGCCTCCCTCAGCGAAGGCACTGAGGTGTGTTTTAGCAGGCTATCACTTTGGCTCTGTCGCTCCTGAACATTTACAGGAACAGTGTGATGGGTTGGTGGGTTTATTTATTTCTCTTTCTTGTGTGTGTTTGGTACTGTCTCACACATGTTGCTGCTGGATGCTCTCTCAAGCCTCCCAGTCAGTGTATTAGCAAATTCATTTTACAGAATAAAATAAAAACAGTCCGGTGCGGTCCCCTGAGTACAAAGGGCCTTGTAAAGAAGGGAGCCATGGGGAGTTGTTACCCTTTCATCCATCGCCTTCATATATTTCAGATTTCTTACTTTAGTACATATTTCTTATTTTATTATGTTAATTTAAATTAAATAATTTTTGTCTGATTATACATATACTTAAATATTCAATTAATGTTTATTTTATGCAATTAAGTGGATATTTCTGTGCAATGGAGACTTAAGTAAACTGTATATTCATTAGAAAGATCTTGTGCGTGTATGACACGAATGTGTTTGTTCTAGATCCTTGCATTTGCCTGTGAAGCCTGTGAAGAAGTGACCCTTCAGGTCCCTACCAAACTACCTGCTGAGAAATTTGTGGGCAGAGGTAAAGAGCAGCTACAGTGTGTGCTATGCTCCGTTAAAAGTTACTGTGATATTTAGAACCGTGATTAATATTAATATTATAATCATGATTAATAGTGAATAATGCAACGTTTTTAATACATGTTATATTGTACCAATGAAATAATATATTCTTTATTGAAAAATATGATTACCCAAATAAGAGAAAAATGTTAAGTTCAAATAATAACATAAATTTTTGATGTTTATATTCCATGGATCATATTGTATATGCTAAATATGCTTCTAAGCATTTGAGAACCAATATTGAAGTTATTTTTTGACTTTGAAGGTGCTGTTCTTACTGTATTTTATTTCTACATTGTGTGCGTGTGTTGGGCATCAAACCAAGGGCATTGCACATGCTGAGCAAGCAGTCTATCTCAAGCTATGTCTTTAGCCCCATATACTTGTTTTTATCAATCAATTTTTTAGTTTGTTTAACTTATAAAATGTGTGTGTGTGTGTGCCCACATAAACAAGCTGGGCAAAAAATTTACTCCCTGGCCTCTCACTGACCTGTCCATTTTTTATATGATTTAGTTGTAGAAGGAAAAAAAAAATCAAACTAAATTGAACATAATATGGTAACTATTTCACATTTGTTGTAGACTTCAGTAGTATTTCAGTCTAATAACTTCTGACTTGAAGTCGAGTAGTATGTAGTCTCTAGTTAAGAAAAAAAACCCATTTTCAGTGTTGTGTCAAATGTTCAAATACTGGAGTCCACATGCCTTTGTTTCAGGACAAGTGTCTCTTTAAACAGATGCAAAACAAAGCTGTAGAGGCAATATGTATGTTAGGGAGAACTTTAACCATGTAGTGTAGTATATGATATAAAAACACCAACTATGCCAGAGTGCGTGTGATTTAAGTGTTTTGGTCTTCCTGCACATGAATACTGTGTCTACTTTTGAACCCCGTGTGGCTAAAGTGACCGCTGTGTGTGTTTTCTGCAGTGAACCTGAAGGACTGCCTTAAATCGGCAAATCTAATTCACCTGAGCGATCCTGATTTCCAAGTCTTAGAAGATGGTTCAGTGTACACAACCAATGCCGTTGTTCTGTCCTCGGGGCAAAGGAGTTTTACCATATGGCTCCTCAACACAGACAACCAAGAAGAAAGGGAGATATCTGTCCACTTAGAGGGCCCAGGAGAGGTGAGTGAGATGGTATGTGTGAAGTGGAATGGTGTTGTTTCTTTAGGATTAACTGACACTGGCTAGATGTGGAATCAGAGTAGGCTTGGGATGGTTTGGTTGGGAGGAGAGTGAAAGCCATGGCTCAGTCCTGTTTAGTGAAGGAGGGTTGATTGTGCAGCACATGTCATTACGAGTGGGTCAGTCCTGCTCAGTGAAGTCATTCCAAGTTGTCTTCACTCTCATTTGGGATAAGCTACACATGAGAACTTGAGATAGACTACAAAGAAACACTTTTGATTTTTGGAATGGATCTTCTAAAACACATTTGTAAACTTTGCCTCTTAATTGAATTATTTTTTCCTCTTGCATATTAGTGTTATAGGGGTCTCTGGTTCTTATCTTCTTGAAGAAAAGAATTCAAACAAAAGACTAGATAGTTTAAGCAGATGTTTATTTAGCCAAGCCAAGTCAAGCGTACAAACACTCTAAAGAGGGGTTGGGAAGACTGCTCCAAGGCAGTGATCAGTCCAGTGAACTCTGTGTTGTGGAGCTTAAAAATGTTTTATGAATATTCATGAGGCAGGTAGTATATTCTGGGGAAAAGGTGATCCTTTCTCAGTGTCAAGTTATGATGGACCACATCTCATTTTCAGGGCTTTTCTTTCCGTGGTCCTTAGAATAGCCCACAAGAGAAGCAGGGCAAAGCCATAATGCAAGGGATAAAATGATGATGTCAGGCCTTGGGGGATGCAGACACTTTGTTAGGCCATATGTCTCAGAGGATGTCCTGGTGCCTTCATTTCTAATACAGTGGGAACCATCTAACTGCAGTGTTAAAGTGCTTATCCTCACAGGGGTTCTGAATGTCAGGAGGCTCAGCTCGCTTTACCACACCCTTAACTTCTTGCCTAGCCTGTGTCATTAGCATGGCTTGTGGTTAGGAAGACAGATAACAATGGAGAAGGTTTGGACCACATGTGTGCCTGTTGGTTGTGACACCAAAGGTCAAAATAGCCACTTCTCAGTCCCTGGTCATTCTCCCCTGAAGCAGCCTGAGTGCTGTCACTGTATTTCTTTCTTCATTCTGACAGATCTCTGTTGGTTCCCTGGCTCTGGCTAGTTGCTGGTGAGTGGAATATACATATGTTAAATACGGCAGTGAAGACATTCTCATTGCATCTCTTTCCTCCCATGTTCTTGCATGGCAACATGGCTGCAAAAAAATTTTTTTTCAGTGTTGCGTTTACTCTTCTAGTCCATCAATCTTTCTTTCATACTTTCACCAAGTTATTTTCTCAGGAGGGTTTTTGACATAACAAGAACGATAGTCTTTTTCTTTGCCATTGCTGTTATTATTTCTGCAAAATTGAGGTTTAGTTTGGTTTTCAAGTACTTCTGGGGGTTTACATGTCCCTATCTATGAGAGGAGACAAGTGTATAAGCTTGAATGTCTGGGGAGGAAGTAGACTCTATTGACTTTGTAGGCTTTCCTTGATTTTAACAATTAAGGTTTACCTTTCTTTTCTTCTAAACCAAGGTACTAAATGAACGACGTCATCCAGAGAACATTCTCCGCCGTGCCAAGAGAAGATGGGCTCCTATCCCTTGTTCCATGATGGAGAATTCCTTGGGCCCCTTCCCACTTTTCCTTCAACAGGTATAGTTTACTTTGGCGGCTGAGGTCTGTCTTTTTTCCATTTTCAGAAATAATTAATAGGTATTTAAAAGTAATTGTGGGCAGACTGGTTAGAATGCCTGTCTGCCATGCTCAAGAGCTTGAATAAATCCTTACTAATTAAAAAAGTCAATACTATGTAAAATAGTTACATGTAAATATTAGAATGGAAGGTTTAAGTATCATGCTTCAACACATGTGTGTAAATATTTCTTAATATTGTGTATACATTTCACAGTTTTAGTCATGTGAAAGTAATCTATGAGAACTGTAAAACTCATCTAGCACTCTAAAGCAATCTTGGTGTTACTCATTTTATACACTGTTAACTTTCACAAAGATAGCTGTTCTCAACTGTATAGTGTATTCTGACTAATTCACTCCCACCCACTCACTTCTTTCTTGCTTACCCCTCATACCACTTTCCTTCTTTCCTCCATTTCCCCTTCTGCTTTCATGTCATATAGGGATGGATACACACACACACACACACACACACACACACACACACACACACACACGTATACGCACACAGTGTAGATTCATAAATGAGAGAAAGTATGATGTTTGCCTTTCAGAGTCTGGCTTATCCACATAGACAAGCTCTTGCTCTCTAGCCTCAGGCTGGTCTTATCTCCGAATTCTCCCATCTCTGCTTTCCCAAGGCTGGGATTACAGGCATAAGCCACCATACCTGGTGAAAATCAATTTTTATAATAATTGGCCAAATACAATAAAATCTCAGGACTTAAGCAGAGTGGCAACAGATAATCATTCAATCTCATATTGCTATATTTTCAAATACAGGGGAATCCCAAGTGTTTGGTTCATTTACATAATGTTTAGTCCTCACAGTACTGATTTTTTTGCTATAGGATTTTGCAAGTATCTTCTTTTTGAAAATTTCAATTTTAATTCCTTATTCTATTGCTGCATTTTTTTCTGATACTGAGCACAGCAGAGGACTGATGTTTAGTCTAGTAACTGGCAGTGTTATTGCATAAAAATACCCATGCAAATTTTACTGAAATAAACATGTCTTGTGCTATATTATTTATTTTCTAGATCCAGTCTGACACAGCTCAAAACTACACCATATACTATTCCATCACAGGGCCAGGAGTCGATAAAGAACCTCGAAACTTATTTTATGTTGAAAGAGATACTGGAAACCTGTATTGCACTGGTCGTGTAGATCGTGAGCAGTATGAATCCTTTGAGGTAAAGTCCAAAGATCGATCATCTGCTGTGCTTATGGTTGTCTTAGTTTAGGTTGCTATTGCTATCATGAAACACGGACCAAAAAACCAAGTCAAACCAAACCAATCAAACAAAAAAACAAAAAACCTGGGGGTGAGGGCAGGAATGGTTCATTTGGCTTATGCTTCCATATGTTGTTCATCACTGAAGGAAGTCAGAACAAGAACTCAAACAGGCCAAGAACTGAAAGGCAGGAACCGATGCAGAGGCCATGGAGGGGTGCTGCTTACTGGCATGCTCATCATTGTTTTCTCAGATTTTTTTTTTAATGGAACCCAGGACCACCAGCCCTGGGATTCTTCCATTCACAATGGGCTGGACCCTCCCTCACCAATTTCTTAACTAAGGGCTTGCCTACAGCCCAGTCTTACAGAGGAATTTTCTCAACTGGGAGTCCCTCCTTTCAGAAGACTCTAGTCTCTGTCAAGTTGACATAAAATTAGCTAGCATAACAGATATTAACCTCGGCCACTGTGTCTTTCACTCTCAATTTACCTACCCTGCTCCCCCCCCCCCGAGGTTTTTCATTGGTGCTCTGGCTACAATTGATGACAATCAATGACAGAACTGAGTTGAAACAAACAAATTAAATGAAGTAAATAAAATTCAATTCTGTTAGTTTATTCCTGGTCTTATGATTTTTTTTTCTGTTTTAATTTTCCATAGGAAAAAACATGAGACAGCGCATTTGTTTGTCAGAGGGTTTAGTTTAGTTCAGTGGAGACAACATACTTGACATGTGTAAGGCTCTGAATTTTATCCCCAGCACCACAAAAATAAAACATGGTTGTTTTTACTTTGTGTCATGATTTTATTCTATTCACAGCTGATTGCGTCTGCAACAACTCCAGATGGGTATACACCTGAGTACCCGCTGCCACTCCTCATTAAAATAGAGGATGAGAACGATAATTACCCAATTTTTACACAGCCAGTATACAGTTTCACAGTTTTGGAAAACAGTCCAGTCGGTAAGTAGCCACACCAATCATACAGGGCAGCTTGAGTTAGCATTGGTTCGGAAACTGAGCCTCTGTGTGGCCACAGGAACGCAGCCTCCTGTGATGGCGAGAACAGGGGTACTGCATGAGGTTTTCTTCTGTCTTTCACTGGTTTCCTAGTTTGACAAACCACAGTTTCTTAGTTTATTATCCAGTGAATGGGTTATCTACTTTACATTTCTATGAGGTAAATGAAGTGCTTTTAAGAGAATAACCTGTAAATGAAGTCATTTGGCATTTGGAGGCCTATCTACTGAGCTCCAGAAATGCCTAACTGGGTTGTAGTGTTCTGAGCATGATCAAGAGTCACTGAGAACAATACAGGAATTTTTCTGGTCTTGTTAACCTCAGGCCCAAATTGGGTGGGTGTCAGAATGCAGTTTTGGGGACATATCCTAGGAAGACCTGCCTGAACTAATAATTTTTAGAGAGAACTGCCTCAAATGGTTAATTTAAGCACAGGAAATGGAAATTTAAGCAAATGAGAAAGGGCTCAAAAATAATTAGAAAATATCAGCTTAGAGGTGTAGCATTGACAGAGGGATAATGTCATCATTCATAGACTCTCACATGAACATAGTGTAAAAATAGGTGTGGCTGCCAGATCTTCAAAATATTAGAACATGAGCGTATGTAAAAGGAAGTGTTATTTTATGTAGTCGTCTCTTGACTTAGAAAAGCCATGATACTGATCTGTAAAACAGTTGCTCAAAAAGGCTTCTGAAGTAGCTGAAAAGAGCAAAATGAGAGGCCTAGAGCTTAGGTTTGGCCACTGAATAGGAGCTTTTCCTCTGCAGGCTTTTCCGTAGGGGAGGTCTGTGCTACAGACAAGGATGAGCCGGGAACAATGCACACGAAGCTGAGGTACTCCATCCTGGAGCAGGTGCCTTCCCCGCCCACATTATTTACCATGCACCCCACGACTGGTGTCATCACTACCACGTCATCTCAGCTGGACAGAGAGGTAAGGAAAGCCTCTCTGGAAATATAGATTTTAGTATGTTTCTCCTGTATTATATGATTAATATCTACTTATAAGTGAGTACATACTGTGCGTGTCTTTCTGCTTCTGGGTTACCTCACTCAGGATGATCTTTTCTAGTTCCTTATTTTAACTGCAGAGTAGTATTCCATTTGTCAAATGTACCACAATTTCTGTATCCATTCCTCTGTTGAAGAATATCTGGGTTGTTTCCAGATTCTGGCTATTACCAATAAAGCTGCTATGAACATGGTTGAGCAAATGTCCTTGTTGTATACTTAGGCATATTTTAGATATGTACCTAGGAGTGGTATAGATGGATCTTGAGGTAGAAGGAGGACCCTAGGGAAGTTGCTCAGACCTCACTCAGAAATCAAATGAGATAGACATCGGAAGAGGGAGAAAACAGGGAACAGGATAGGAGCCTACCACAGAGGTCCCCTAAAAGACTCTGTCCAGCAGGGTATCAAAGTAGATGCTGAGACTCATAGCCAAACTCTGGGCAGAGTGCAGGGAATCTTATGAAAGAAGGGGAAGATAGAAAGAACTGGAGGGGACAGGAGCTCCACAAGGAGACCAACAGAACAAAAAAAGTTCTGGGTCCAGGGGTCTTTTCTGAGACTGATGCTCCAACCAAGGACCATGCATGGAGATCTAGAACCCCTTGCTGAGATGTAGCCCATGGCAACTCAGTCTCGAAGTGGGTATCCTAGTAAGAGGAGCAGAGGCTGTCTCTGACATGAACTCAGTGGCTGGCTCTTTGATCACTGCCCCCTGGGGAGTGCAGCCTTGCCAGACCACAGAGGAAGATGTTGCAGCCAGCCTTGATGAGACCTGATAGGCTAGGGTCAGATAGAAGGGGAGGAGGTCCTTCCCTATGAGGGGACAGGGAAAAGGCATAGAGGGAGAAGAAAGAGGGTGGGTGGGATTGGGAGGGGACGAGGGAGGGAGCTACAGTTGGGATACAAAGTGAATAAATCGTAATAATTAAAAAAAATTAAGTAAGAATAAAAAAAGGAGAAGAGGAAATGCCAGGAGACAAGCTGGATTAGAGCTTGGCTTTTAAGAGCGCACTGTCTCATCTGGACAGAGTGGTAACAGATGTTAGTGGATAAATGTGACTATTTAACAGCACAGATACAATAGCTGTAATCTGAAAAATCTCAAGACGGAAAAGCTCCAAAATATGAACTTTTTGTTTGAGCACTAATTTGGTGGCAAAGATAGAAAATTCTACATCCAGCCTCATCAACAGGTTGCAGCAAAAGGACAGGCAAGCTAAAAACATGCTATCAAATCATCTTTGAGCTTTGTGTAACAGCCATGAGTGTCTTTCTGTGGGCCTGACATCAAGCTATCCTGTGATGTGGATTCAGTGAGGGGTACTCAACCTGCTGACTCTGGGCGTCACCTGTATGTGTGTTTCTGGAAAGTATGATTAGTTCCCAACTTTGCAAAGTTTATTGTTTCCATTACATAATTGAAGGTCATTCAGTAACTCCATGACATGCTAATGTAGAACATCTAGATCATTCTCTCCTGAACTTCGTCTTTTATGAAATCAAATCTTTCATAGAAGTATATTTGTAGTCTTAAACAAGCAAATGTCAAATTAAAAAAAAAAAGTGAACCTTCTCGAGATGGGCAGAATGTGGTATCCACTGAAAGAGAATTCTTTTAGCAATCTCGTTTATATTCTTCCTCCAGTGTAGATAAAATATCTTGAATGTGTAGCCTTTGACTTCCATTTCCACTAACTACTCAAATTCTTACCTGCCTAGAAATCTGAAATGCACCTTAGCTGCATTAATATTTAACTTGTCAGCAAGTTCTCTTTCCTGTATTTTTTGGTAAAATGGTTTTAATAATTTCCCCATTGATGATTTGTCTAGTATCAACTTGCAGCCATGCTGTCAAGACAGTGTATGTCTCTTCTCACCTGCTAGATCAAAAAGCTTTTCAAAGTATGGACGTTCCCTCTGAGAGTATTTTACATGTATAGTCTATACTTTCATTGCGACTACCCTATTAGATCTTTACTTACTTCCTCATCCAACTATTACAATCCCCAGCTCGAGCTATCCACACGAACTCTTACAGCAGTTTGTTGGGCTTACTTATGGTCTGCAATATTTAATCTTGTAGTAGTACATGATTATTGGGTATTACTGGGTATCCATGACCACAGTGTTTCTCTTCCTTTTGAAAGTTGGTAAAGCTAGCTAATTATATATTTTTTGAGTTGATAACACTTTCCATTTGAGAAATGACTCAGTTTTAATATATTGATTACGCATTACTAGAACGAAGAACTTTTACTAGATATAAATGCTGTGAAATGTAAGTGTTCCTTTAAATTATTAGCAAAAATGAGAGACAGAGTAAAAGTCAAGATTCCACTTATAGCGGTGCTGCTTTTGCCTAATACTTATATTTTCGTTGCTTTCAGTTAATTGACAAATACCACTTGAAAATAAAAGTACAGGATATGGATGGCCAGTATTTTGGTTTACAGACAACAGCAACCTGTATCATAACTATAGGAGATGTGAATGACAACTTGCCAGTCTTCACTCGAACTTCAGTAAGTGCGCTGCTTATCAGGGCGAAATGCATGACCTATTCTCTGTTTTAAAGTACATGGATTTCTTTCTGTGCCCCATGGCTTGGCATGAATGCTCACAATGACCTGAAGGTAGCTTGGGGTTAGAGTTGGAAACATGAGAACATGGAACTTTGAAAACTGTAAGAATGGCTTATTTCACATGGTAATCTTGTTTTGTGAGGCTTACTAAATGAAGCTTTATTCTTTTTATTTCTTTCAGTATGTGACGTCAGTGGAAGAAAATACAGTTAATGTGGAAATCTTACGTCTTACTGTTCAGGATAAAGATTTAGTTAACTCTCCTAATTGGAGGGCTAATTATACCATCTTAAAGGGCAATGAAAATGGAAACTTTAAAATTGTAACAGATCCTGAAACCAATGAAGGCATTCTGTGTGTGGTGAAGGTAAGACTTAATTATTCAGTTAGATATTTGTAATTTATAATATAGAATAGCAGGCAAAGATTTAATGGGAAGAAAGAGATGCTGGTAAATGGAGGCATAACATGTATAATTTAGATAATTATAAATACTATTTTATTCATATATGTTAAATGGGATGAACATGTTCACTTTGAATAACTGTGATAGTTTGCCCTCTCTAGCTGAAAGCAACTTGAGAAGAAAACTTTTTTTTTTTTGCTTACACTTTCTTATCACAGTCCAAAGGAAGTCAAGGTAGCAACTCAAGGCAGGAGCTGAAACAGAGGTCATGAAAGGACACTGCTGACTTATTTGCTCACTTAGTTTTCTTAGATACTTCAAGAACAACCTCTCAGGGGTGACACCACCCTTAATGTGCAAGGACCTTCTACATCAATCACTAATCAAGAAAATGCCCTGCAGGCTTCCCTGCAGGCCAGTCCTAAAGAAGCGTTTTCTCCGTTGAGGTTTTCTTCTCTGATGACTCTAGCTTGTATGAAGTTGAAAAAAACCCAAAGCAGTCACCGTTTACAAAGACATGATTTTAAAATACAGTATTTGTGTTTTATTCATGTGTAGTCGTATATACTTGATAACATATATTTTGATAGTTTAATAACTGGCAGAGCTTTATCACCAATGGACAGATCCAATCTTTAACAAACTATTCTTTCTGTTTCTGGGTCAAGGAGTTTTCAACTATTTCCTGAGTTTCTGAATTGAGTCATACCTCATCAGAACCACAGAGAGACTGTCAATAGGTTTATTTGTCTGTATCTTGTATATAGTACAGTCTTAGCACACAGGTTCATAGCATGCAACTCAAGTGGTCAGAGATGTCCCCATTTCCAAGACCTTTTTCTAATATTATTTTGCATATAACTTAGGAGCCAGGCCTGAGACACTAAGGAACCCAGGCTGCTTCAACTTCGGGTGCTTATATGACATCATAGGTCCATTTCCGTGATATCATTAAATAGAACACAATTCCATCCTGGGTCTGGAGCAGTGGTTCTTAACCTGTGGATTGTGACCCCTTTGTGTGTATGTGGTGGTGGTGGGGCTGTCAAGCAATCCTTTCACAGGGATCACGTATCAGATATGCAGAACATCAGATATTTACATTACGATTCATATCAGCAGCAAAATTACAGTTATGAAGTAGCAATAAAGTGCTATGGTTGGGGTCACCACAACACAAGAACTGTAAAGCATCACACGTGGCATTAGGAAGGTTGAAAGCCCATGGTCCAGCGAACTTTCTTTTGTACACATTCTCAAGGGCTGTGGATCAAAGACAGTGAGTCCATTTCCTCACGATGATGCAAAGCAGCTGCAGTTTCTGGCTAATTTCTGTTTCAAAACATCAAAGAAAAGCCCTTTAAATCCTGTCTCTTACTTGACCCCAGCACTGTCCCAACCCTAACACCAGACTTTATCTCTGGATCATCTTGGTCACATCTCCTCATCACCTCACTAACCAGGCAGAATGAAGCATACTTTCCATCCACCTTGAATGAAGAGATTTTAAAAAGGAACAAATAACGACTCTAAGCTTTCTATATTCTTGTTCCCCTTTAGCTGACGGGAGCTAAAGGAAGGGTTTGAAAAGGTGGGTATCAAAGGTGAACATTACAGTTGTCTAAGGAATCCAAAGCTGGGCAACAGAATTGCTGGACTGCCCTCACTTCTTCCTCCTCTCCACTGCAGAGTAATAAAAGGACCACCTCAACCAGTCCCACTGGGGATAAGAGTTCACAGAAGCAAAAAGCAAGGGAGCAAAAGCAATCAGTTAAACATCTCACAGCAGGAACACCATTATCCTACTCTTATCTCACTTGCAGGCCACTGGGATCTCACAGACATTCCAGGACAAAGGTCAATGACCCTAAAGAGATGCCTGGTACCATTTTAAGTTTCTTTAGCCATCTCAGGGGAGTTGTGTAAATTAATACAAAGGTCTAAGCAGTCTAAGGGAAGTGTCTCTAATAATTGGGATAGAGCAGTTTATTTCTCGGCAGGTAATAATAACCCAGTGCCGTCCGGTTAGGGCTGGCTGTCCCATCCCCATGCCAGTCCTAAACATTTTATAGAGCTGGGCTACGTAGCTTGCTGGTCTAGCATACACAGGTTCTTGTTCAAATTCTAGACCAACACTAAATGGGCATGGTGGCACACACCTGTAAGCCCAGCATTTGGGAGGTGGTGGCAAGAGTGTGAGAAGTTAATGTCCTTATTATGTGATTTGAAGACCAATCTTGAATACCCAATATTTAAAACAAAACAAAAAACAAAGCTCTTGACCTAAATTTTGACCTAGTTTTTTACTTCTGAACCCAGTGCAAATAACTGTCCTCAAGACTCTAAAAGAAGCTGTTTTAAAGTAACTAGCATAAAATAACTGTCCATACCCCAAATTGTAACTTATGTTAAGCATCTACGTATCTAGATCTATGATACCTTTAATTTTCAGTTTTCTTTTGAGGGAAATACTGAAAGGCCCCTATGGTTCAGGCCTGTATTTAATGCTTTCATGACTGTTCATGATCTGGTATTACCCATTTCCAACGCGGCAAGTCCTATGTGTAGTGAACTTTAATCGTTTGAGCTGATATTCAACACATTTCCTCTAGGCCCTGGACTATGAAGAACGGCAGCAGGTGACCCTGCAAATTGGTGTGGCTAACCAAGCCCCTTACACCAGAGAGGCTAGTTTGAGGTCACCCATGAGCACAGCCACAGTGACTGTCACCGTGAGAAATCAGGATGAGGGACCTGAGTGTATCCCTCCAACACAAACTGTGAGGATCCCAGAAAATGTACCAATTGGTACTAGACACAATGGGTACAGGGCATACGACCCTGAGACCAGAAACAGCAATGGCATAAGGTATTTGAAATGCTCCTGTTCCTTTCACATTTACAATGCTGGGGAAGTCTCTTGTCTTTGGCTTTGTGATTTGGCTCATGACATCTCTTGTCGCATCACTTCACCATGGTTAACAGGTACAGGAAGCTAAGTGACCCAAGAGGCTGGGTCACTGTAAATGAAGATTCAGGATCCATCAGTATTTTCCGAACCCTGGATCGAGAGGCTGAGACTGTCAGGAATGGCATCTACAACATTACAGTCCTTGCATTAGATGCAGGTAAGAAACTTGTCTTTAAGACAGCCACCTGCATCTTCTGTTGTATGCTTCTTCAGTTTTAAAGTCAAGTATATATATGTATATATATATATAAATTTTGGTTTAATCTCATGCATGGAATTGAACTCTGGCCTTTCAGATGCTATGAAAAACACTCTGCTACCAGGGCCTGCCCCAATCCCAACCACATACCTGTTCATCTTTTGACTCAGGGTCTCACTGTGCAGCCCTGGCCAGCCTGGACCTCCCTATACAGACCATATTGGCCATAAATTCATAGAGTTCCTGTGTCTGCCTCCAAGTGCTGAGACCAGAGGTGCTTGTTTCATGCCCAGACCCCAAACATACAGCTTTAAAATTGGCTCCATATATTCTCAGTTTATTATCCCTCAGTATAACGTATAATTAGAAGTGTGCTGTCATTTATTAACCCGGTTGGCTAACATTATTAGCATTAGATGCAATTATAAGATACTGTGGTCTAAGATGGAGCCAGTGGGATGGCTTAAATGGTTAAGGTCCTTGCTATTCAGTCTGAGTTTGATTCAGAGTTTGCTATTCAGGTCTGAGTTTGATTCCCAGGTGTAACGAGAGAATGGACTTCTGCAAATTGTCTTTTGACCTCCACTGTCACTCATAATAATTAAACACATTCAATAAAAATTAAAGGAAAAACCAATTTTGTTTAAGAAACAACATTATAATTAGGAAATCTACTGAAGAAAAATATATTCATTTCTCTTGCAGCATTCAGGAGAGTTCATAATAAGAAGGAACTATTTAGTCACATAGTACACTCCTAGAAAATAGAACACTTTACAGGAAACTAACAGTATTTGGGGGGTTAGAATTCCAATTAAACACACTAAACAAAAATGAGTCAGTCACAGCTAATAGCACGTTGTAAACTGAGAGGTTCCAACTTTGAGTTCACATATCCCACTTTTGTTTCTGTTGCTGTGGTGAAAGGACCTTATGAAAAGTAATGTGGAAAAGAAAGGGTTTAACTCCGTCCATCATTTCAGGCAGGTGAAAGCAGGAACTTGAAGGATGCAGTCACACCTGCAGTAAAGACCAGAGAGAGTGAAAGTGCTCAGCTTGCTTTCTCTCCTTCTACACAGTCCAGGGCTCAACACCCAGGGCTGCTGCTGGATGTTTCTAGCTGGGTCTACTTACATCACTTAAGATAATCAAGACAATCCCCTCAACCCACAGACATGCTCACAGGCCAATGTGATTTACACCATGAGAAGCTGAAAATTAAACTAAGCCCATACCAGATAAGAACATAAAATACAAAATTGTGTTTTGTGAACCCTGAAAATTTAGAAAAATATGAATACAGTGATTGTGCATATAAGGCCCATTTAGTGTGAAAAATGTAATTTTGTTATAAGATGTATTTATTTGTGTGGGCATAGTACATACTGGCAATTTCAGTACTTGGCTATTGGAGGCTATAGGATCATTTCAAGGTTAGCTTCAGTTAAGTTTGAGGCCAACCTGGGCAACCCGAGACACTATTTCAAAAAGAACTTAAAAATAAACAAAACAAAACAAAACAAAAAAATAAAGGTGTAATTGAATTTAGTGCATTTGTAAAATAAATATGAAATTATAATAAACTTAGCTCATTACGCTCTACCTTGCATAATTAAATTGTTTAAGTGATTCTGGAAGATAATTTAGGCATTATAACTCTCTCTGAATTAACTCAAATACTTTGAGCAGTGAACTTCCTCAACTATTGTCTTCCCTGTTTCTTCCTCTTCTAGAATAAGTATTAGATGATTTTTTTTTTTGCTGTTTGATTTCTACATCGATTAGAGCTATGATTTCATTTCTGTTAAGCAAATTCTTCTTTATGTCCTTGATGATCTTAGATGCACTTATTTCAAAGCTCTCATGTTGAGTACATTCATCTTCCATCTGGTGACTTTGTTGTTTATATTAATATTATTCACTGGGTCCTATCCTAATGTTACTGGGACGTCTGATCCACTCTGCCTTTCATTCCTCTCCTTCTACTTTACTCCATCTTAACTGGCAGGCAGTTTTGTATTAACCTGCAGATATGTTTCTGGCTTGCGGTTCAGAATCAGTTCTTAACCTGGTGGCCTGGTGTGTCTAGCCTTTCATGTTTCTATAGAACTGCCAAGATCCAGCCAGTATGCCAGAGGAGCCTTGGCTAAAGTTATGCTTGCAAGGCAAGCTTGTTTTTCCATTGCTTAGGTTGGCTGCATACAAGGCATGGTCCCAATCACTGGATGGTATGGTTTTTATTTTTCCTTTTCCTCCACCTCTACTGTCCAAATCCTACTTAATAAGGAGAAAGAACAAATGGTTCAGAAACAAGGCTCCTACTTTCATGTTGACTTTATACTTCATAACCTCCCTGGCCATGTGATTGCTCCATCTTTTTAAGCCCCAAACTTGCCAATGTAGTGCCCTGTAGAGAGTTATCAGGAAGATATATCTGAATGACAAGTTAATTCCAGAAGTTACACCCACAGTCCTGGTTCCTTAATATATAGATGACAGGCTATTTGTGAGGCTACACGCAGAGTGGTAATTTCTACATTTAAAAATGTCTCTCCACCCTTTGAACATCTCCTTGAGCCGTTTCTGCTTAAAATTTCCAAATACATATCTTCTACTCTTCAACTTCCTTGTTCCAAAACCTTGAGCCTTCTCTTCACGTATGCTAAACTCTCTGTGTCAGCCCTGACCTGTCAGCCATCTCCATTTTCTCCACATCACAGGTCAGTGTAACGTGTGCCCACACCCTTGTCTTTAACTGCATTTTAAGCATATTTTATGTATCCCTGCTAGACTACAAACAATATACCATACACTCTCTTTCTGTCTCTTCAAAATCAACCAAGTCTTCTCTGTCTAACATTTTCCATGCCTAATGTAATAATCTAGTGAATGGATGAAAATGTGTAAATAGCACTTACTATATGTATCGCTTGGAAGGAATAAGATTTTTCTTTTAGTGTTTCCTGTGTTGTTGCTCATGGCTGTACTTGTAACTTATGCATTGTTAAGTGATTAATAAGTACTGATATTAATTTTAAATGTAGAATTTCCTAGCAAAAAAAAACAACAACGGAATAAAAAAAAAAGTATTCTTCCTGCTCTATGTCTAGATGGAAGAAGCTGTACTGGAACCCTGGGAATTGTACTCGAAGATGTGAATGACAATGGCCCATTCATACCCAAGCAGACAGTGGTGATATGCAAAGCCACCATGTCCTCTGCTGAGATTGTTGCAGTCGATCCTGACGAGCCAGTGAATGGTCCACCGTTTGACTTTAGTTTAGAGAGTTCTGATTCGGAAGTACGGAGAATGTGGAGGCTGACAAGAATTAATGGTGTGTGCTTTCAGCATTGCCTTTTCCTTTTCAACATCAGGCTGCCTATTCCCCCCACCTCTGCCCCCGGTTGTATGTCTTGGGGATTAAGAGAAAATTTCATTTTAAGAGAACCATTCGGAAAGAAGACATGAAATTTTGGCATAATAGGTAGTGAGCCTGTTATGCTGCTGATGATATCAGGATCCCCTTAGGTATTCCCTAAATTCTCATCCAAGCTCTCATCTTCATGGATGCTGTGTAACTGCAGGTCTGCCAAGCAGCTGGGACAGTACCTTGCAGGGGTATCTGTGTCTTTTACAGTGCCCAACACCCCACTGCTTCTTTCTGCTGCCATGCTGACATTTCACTGTTGTGTGTCTAGTGTGTTCTCTTTGGGAATCTTTCTCTCTTCGTTCCCAGTTGACTGTCGCTCAGAAGGGTCCTACTGTGACAAGAATGGCTGAAATTAAAGTGGCTTTTCTCCACTGCCACATGTTAATTTTCATCTCCTGTACACACTCATGGACTGTGAGGCCTCATAGCTTTCTTAACTCAAGAACCTCACTCATCTTTTGTGTGACTAGAAATGTCACTTAATGTTTTCAACACTGTGTTTTCAGTGGCCATGCCTCAGTTTCCAGCTATGAAAAATTAAAGCAAAGTTAAAAGCCAAACAAAAGCAAAGCAAAACAAAACAATGCAAGCAGAGCCCAAGATGGGAAAACATTTTTAAAAAGCAAGGCTAAACCCAAGGAAGCTAAGGCATCCTGTCTTGAGCCACAGTGATCTGTAGATTAAAAAGATACACAAATTTTAAAACAATATTCTGTCGTGTGCCTTGGGAAGAGGAGAAAGATTTTTATTTGTTCTTTCTTAAGAAAGAAGTAGCATTATTCTTAGATTTTAAGCTGAGTATTTTAGTTTAAATGACATTAACTGAAGATACTGGGATTTCCAAAATTTCTGTTTAGCCAAATAATATTTTGGCAGCAATATTCTAGTCGGAAGTTGTTTTTTTGTTTTTTTTTTTTTTTTTTTTTTAGTCATTTTGTCTCTATGGTAACGAGAATTGAACCCAGGGTCTTGCAGTGGCTGGGAGTGTGTTAACTGAGATGTGACCCAGCTCCAAATTTAGTTGTTTTAAGAATACCAGTCCTTGAGCACATGTGCAGTCCTGAGAAATGCCACAGTTAGAAGAATGTACCCGGCAGAGGTCTTGACGTAAGGTGGGCCTCATGTCAAGTGTGGGATGAGGTTTATTTTCTTGCAGTGTCAGTTCACCTGTGTGTGAAAGTGGATTATTTCTAGAAATTATTAAGATAAGAAAAGACACAGAACATGACTCACTCTTAGCTCTGTGTTTTGACTCATGATTATGTCTTACACAATACACCGGATGGGTAGCTGTGGTTTCTATTAAGTCCCAGTTTTGTGATTTCTTGTCCTAGGAAACTAAATTCACCTGGGGAACTTCAAATACAGTACAGAAAACGAGCACACCTCATTGGGAGTTTAAGTAACAGAGTTATTATTCTATGGCTTGTGGTGGTTTACAGTACCACATAAAAATAAATTTAAAAACACATTACAGTTTTTGCTCTGAGCTTGAGTTTCTACTAGCTTTTGATATAGATATTTCCTACTTTCAATCTAATATATATTTTAATCTAATCTATAAGATATATGATATAAACAAAACAACAACAAAAAGATTTAGTTGGTTCCAGTGTCCTATAGGACCATAAGATCAAGTTCCTTTGGTGTGCTTGTGACCTTGTGACCTGCCCATGAAGTAAATGTGTTACTGGCTATCAGGAGCAGTTCTTGTTGATAAACCACAAGTATTAATATCCATTTGGCACATTTTATGAAAACAAATGAGAGACACCAAAATTTCAGATGGCTGCCTCCCTGGTGAGTCACACATGAGGGAAATGTAGCACAATGGGCTTAATTGAATATATTAAACATAGGACAAAGAGCAACCTCTTGCCGAGTCTATTAGCTATAATAGGAAGGATCTGTGTATGAACAGATAAAATATTAGAAGAGCCAAAGGACTTTAATAAAGAGGCAGTCACCTGCCTTTAATAAAGAGGCATTAGTTACCTCCCTCACTGCTGTGACAAAAGAACAGGCAAAGGAAGCTTAAGGAAGGAAGGTCTTATTCTGTCTCATGGTTTGAGGGCGCAGTTCTTCACAGCAGGTAAGGCTAGGCTGTAAGAACTTGAGGCAGCTGGTTACATTCCAAACACAGTCAGGAAGCAGAGAGCCATCAGCGCTGATATTCAGCTCTTTTCTTCCTCCTCCCCTTCCTCCTCCTCTTTCTTGTCTTGGACCCCAGCCCATGAGATACTGCATTCAGTGTGAGTCTTCCGTCTTCACTTTAATGCCTCTGGAAATGCCCTCAGAGGCATGTCTAAAAGTATGTCTCTTAGGTAACTTTAAAATCCTGTCAGTTTGGCTGTGTGTCAGAGACATTCAGTTCAGCCACGGCTTTCGGAAGGATCCTAGCATTTATGATAATCTGTGAGTGTCCGTTTGTAGGGAAGAGGGTATCTATTTGATAACTGGCCAGTTTGCTCAAGAGATGTTGTTGGGTTCCTTAATACCTGGTTTTATTTATTTATTCAGATACAGCAGCTCGTCTTTCCTATCAGAATGACCCTTCATTTGGAACCTACGTAGTGCCTATCCGAGTTACAGACAGGCTTGGTCTGTCCTCGGTCACTTCATTGAAAGTCACTGTATGTGACTGCATTACTGAAAGTGACTGCAGAATCCGCTCAGGAGAAAGGACCAGCTATGCAGAAATGAGACTTGGACCATGGGCTATCCTTGCTATACTGCTGGGCATAGCCTTGTTGTTTTGTAAGTTCTTTCTTGAGTCTAACTCAAAGCCTTTAAAGCAATTTTAAAACATTCTTGAAATGAATACTTATGGGTGGTGGTTTGAGCATAGATATATTTCTACTTAATATATTTAATGTGTGTATTTAAAATTTATTAAATATATATATATATATGTAATTTTGGTAGGAGTGTGCCCTGTATAAATATCAGAGAACAATTTTCAGCAGTCTGTTCTTCCCTTCCACCATGTGGGACTCTGGGAGGGAACATAGGTCATCCATTTTGATGGCAAGCACTTTTACCTATTGAGCCATCTTACCAGTTCCTGTATTTAATACATATTTTTAAATGTACTTATGTGTAACTCTCTTGTCTTCTCAGCAGAGTATACATATGTTATGTGGTATGTGTAGCGTATCTGCTTAGGGCACACTCTCCTACTGCACATGCTTTGACACGTGCTATCATATGTTCTTGAAAGATGTTTAGTATGTACCCTTCAATGCATGATTTATCCATGTCGATGCCATCAACACAGTTTTACATTAATTGATGAGAGACTAAAGGGAGCCCCTTCCTTTCTTCCTGCAGGCATTTTGTTTACACTAGTCTGTAGTGTTTCCCAGGCAACAAAACAACAGAAAGGTCTTCCTGACGACCTAGCTCAGCAGAACCTAATTGTATCAAACACCGAGGCTCCTGGAGATGACAAAGCTGTAAGTCACCTTTCTTTTTAAACCAAGTGCAGAGGATGATTCAGCCTATAGTATGTGTTTCTTCTAAAACTTTTTTTTTCCTCCTTAACAAACTTCTTTCGGTGTCTGGTAATTCAGCAGCAATGTCCTCCATCCCAGGGAATCGATGTGTATAGTTCCCATGGAGGTGTGGTACTTCAGTTTGGCCATGCGGTGCTGCTTAATCTTTAGTGCACACTTTTTTTCCCTACTTCACGTGTCTCCTGGCTTCAGTAGGTCTGTATTTTTAAAAATCTATCCAAACTACTGTTTATGCTTCAAAATATTGCATTTAATTACTCACAGATCGCCAGTATAAATGTTTTTTTTTTTTTTTTAACCTGGATCCAGCAATAAAATCTCTACAGGCTTTGATCATGGTGGGAAAAAGTTTATTGGACTCTTCCTGACAGTAATGCAGGTTAGAAATGAGCCCGAGGCGGATAGTCTAAAAGCAGTACACTAGTGAGAGGCTCTGACGCTTCTAGCCCCACAGGGGAAGGAAGAACAAGTAAATATCTTCCCAAAAGTACAATTGCTGGCCAGAGCAGAAAAGATCTGCAAGCAAAAACAAACAACAAAAACAAAACAAAGGAATCTGACCTTATCTGAGAAAAAGAACGAGGGGGGGGAACTAAAACTACATTTTGGGTTCTAAACTCACAACCTAGAAGAGGAGTAGCCAGTGTGTTGGGGTTTCTGGGATTTTCCTGCCTGGTTTTCTGTTTTATTTATGTGGACTGCAAGAATTATATGTTTATAGCAAACCTTTCTTTTGTTTTGCGTTGGAGGAACTATGTTCAGCATTGACTGAGAAAGCTTGCCATTATTTCTGTTTCTTCTCTTGCTTGATAAAAGAGAATTGGTTTAACTGAGAAAGTAAATACTTGTGACACAGCAATGCTGCCTTCAGAACATGGCCAGTATGCTAAGGAGTTTCTAAAGGTGCAATCTACATCAAGGTTTTTTATTTGCACTGGCAATTTGTTTCTTGTGTTAGACATCACATCTATTACAGGGCATATGTTAGGCACTCAGGATTGAAAAGACAGAGGGAAAGAATACGTCCAGTCGGTGTCTTTGGAAAGATTATTTAGTAAGGCCTACATCAAATTAGGGAACCATCTGCACATACCGTTCTTTCTCACCTTCTTTTGTTCCTCTGTATATTTAACTGATGCAAGGTGTTTTCTTTCCAGTATCCCACAAATGGCTTCACAACTCAAACTGTGGGAGCTTCTGGGCAGGCAGCTTTCGGCACTTTGGGACGAGGAGTCAAGAGCGGAGGGCAGGAGACCATGGAGATGGTAAAAGGAGGACAACAGACTTTGGACACCTGCCGGGGAGCTGGTTATCATCACCACACTCTGGATCCCTGCAGAGGAGGGCATGTCGAGATGGACAACTTCAGATACACTTACTCTGAGTGGCACAATTTCACTCAGCCCCGACTTGGTGAGGTGAGCTTCTGAGCTGTTCCCCAAACAGTGTTGCTGTAATTTAAATTTTACAAAGGGTTCCAACTTAGTGTTTGTGTAGGCTGCTACTTGAAGTCAATGGTGAATCTACTTATTAAGAAGTTGCCATTTTCAATTAATTTGGGTTTAATCATGTTCTGTTTACGTGGTCATTTACTTTCCTGCAAATTTTGTTTGGCTTTTATTACGTTTTAAGGAAATAATTTTGTGGTATGGTTTTTGCATCTTAAAAATTTTGTTTTTTAACAAGTCAATGTCCAGCACAAGGCAATTCAAACATATACCATTGTTTTGCCTGTTTGGAAAGAATGGAGTCCACATCAATTTGGGTTTGGTCTACTGAGCGTGTTTTTAGTTTTTCTACTACTTTGAAAGATGAAAGCAATGGCCACTTAAAAGGAACACTTGGGTGCTTACTGCCACGCAGGACTTTTAGAAGCATGCGAATACTGACTTTGCAGTGTGATTTTATAATACAGACCAATCATGTGCATTTTCTACACATAGGAAACCATTAGAGGACACACTCTGATTAAAAATTAAACAGTGAAAGGTAAATCGAAGCAATTCCTTTTCTTTTAGTATGTTTTGGTGCTTAAAATAACAAAAATAAAATATTTTGTGCTTTCTCCCCGGCAGAAGGTGAAGTTGTGCCATGAGGATGACAACCAGGTGCTTGGTCAAGACTATGTCCTCACATACAACTACGAAGGAAGAGGCTCGGCAGCTGGCTCTGTGGGTTGCTGTAGTGACCAACAGGAAGAAGATGGACTTGAGTTTTTGGACCATTTGGAGCCCAAATTTAGGACATTAGCAGAAGTCTGTGCAAAGAGGTGAACAGCTTTTATCAGGATAACCAAAACGAATGGATTCATTGCCTTTTTTAAAGCTATAAACCAGGATTTTTCAAAAACAGAAATTATATTTGGGGCATCCTTCCCCACTGGTCTGCAGCATCTCCACGGAAATGCACATTTACAGAGAAACTTTGTATATTAGCACTTGAAAACCATTCTGCATGGGTTTTTAATACTTCTCTTTTCCAGGTGTCATCTAAGATGGAAACTTTAAGAAAATTTGCATTACTGTTTACATTAAGCATAGTGCCATCAGCCAACTTAGAGTGCAATAAAATTTAATGCATTTGAGTCTGTTTATGGACTTCTTGACCCAACAGGAGACTATAGAAACTATTATCTCCAATTAATGGATTCATTCATTGTTCATATGGTGCTTGGAAACTTGTTTTCCTAAACATTCTGAACTGTATATTGCTGTGTCTCACTTTTGTTATATTCTTGCAAGATGGCCTAGCTTCATAGTGCAAAGGTAGATTGCCAGGCAGCCATTGGGTGTGTTTGCAGTTCTATTCCAGCGAGGTTTCCTTTTAGGTTCTATTCAGTGCAGTGAAACCGTGCACTGAATATACATCTCTTTTGTACCAACTTTGCCAATCAAATTTAGATTTCAGAACTTTAGAATTTTTTTTTTTTACCTTTATGAGTTTTTGTGAAATATGTATGCTCTCATTCCTCTTCATTTCTTTTTCTCCTTCTCTCCTGTTTGATTTTGAAACTTCCACTTGGGCTAAAGATCCAAAATATTCTCAAAACTTGTCAATTCTCATAAAATAGCCTTTCTGTGGTGTATAAGCAAATGCACTGCCTAGTTTTTAAGCTTAATGTAATAACAACATTATGGTTTTGAAATTTTTGGTAATTGCTTCATTTCTGACCTTAGTGAAGAATTGTAATTTTCCAATGAAACTGTAGGACTCCTTCAGGGTCTATTAGAAGCAAAATTCCATATAACAGAAGCAATAGTATAGTTAGAAGTAGGTTGTGGCTGTCTAATGTAGAATTTCTGTCCTTAATTCAAGGACACTGGAAGTGGGAAATAGTGACGGTGTTTGAGGTAAGCTCCTCAGCATAATAATCTCAGACTATCTCTAGGACAACAACTTTATAACTTTTTAGATGATATGGCTAGTCATAATTACATGAGTGTAAAATTGTTTTTAAGAATAGTTTGTAATTATAGTTTTTATCGAATATAGAAATGGGCCAAATGTTTAGAAATCTTTTAAAGAATTTAAACATGAGCAAATATCATAGCCAACCAGATTCTAGATCAGAGGTCACACTTCTTCCAGTCAGTGAGCTCAGCACTTACAGTAGATGCGCGGATATCCAGGTGCAATTCTGATGTGCGTGATTGTTCACTGTGTGTGTGTCTTTAATTCACCAGTTTGGCTTATAACAATTATTCTTCAGAATGAACATTGGGGAAAAAATGAATATTGATGATGTTTTCAGCAGAGTCATTGTTGTTCAGTCAAAAATATTTCTCAGAGTTATTTTTAATAAATTATGTACAAAATGATTGTATGCTAGTGGTGTTGAAAATGTAAACTAAGCAGCTATGAGGAGCTAGTGTGTGGGGGCTTGTTATTCTTGGGTCTGGTATGCCTGTGAGTGGGTACAGTATAAAGAACCAGCTTCCTTTTCCCAGCTGCTGTCACGGGATGCTGGACTTAGATTCGCAGATACCTGGTACACTGCAGCCATCACACTTGGATGCTATTCGTGTGCTGTGGGTATTGGCTCCCTTGTGCACTCTTTATAGTTATTTTTATCATCTTAAGACAGAGAGTACTTTTAGCATTCTTATCTTGTAATTTTAAAAGACACTTGATTAAAAAAAAATTACCTGTGTGGTTGTGTCTTAGGGTAACTCTTGCTGTGATGAAGCACTATGATCATAAGCAACATGGAGAGGGAGCAGTTTTTTTGGCTTCCATAAATGGAGTTTTTAAAGGGGGGGGGCAGGGTTAAGAATGAAAATCATAGAAAATGATCTACCTAAAGTTACCGCTAGTAATAATAAATGATTTTAAATATATCATATTTATGGCCAATTTTATGCCAGTAATAATCAACTAAGAAAATGGGACAATGGAGACTATTTTCAGTTGACATCTGCCATTTGAGAATGTGTCTCTTCATAATATTCAGCTGATGACTGAATTGCAGACATGCAGTTGTTCAATGCAGTCTGTAAAGGTTGATGAAACATACAGAGGACTGCCTAGTTTGTTGTGCTGTGGACATACAAGGTTCAAGCACATGGAGAACAGAATATTCACTTGTTATATGGATGATGATTCTGAAGCCTTCTGAATTAAAATTTTACCCGGAAGGCCCTTCCTCAGCCGCTCTCTTACCTGTGTCCTGTCAGGCATCAGCAATGGATTGCTACAAGTTTGTAGTTCCTTCTAGTCATCTCAGCGATGCACATACACAGATTCCAGAGTGAATTCCCTGATGCAAACCGCATTGCTATCCTTCCCGGGTTTGGGCTTGCTTTGAGGTGTCATTTAAATGCCTTAGGCTTATTTTTTCCTTGTACTGAGAGGGAAGAAGACTGCTCGAAAGGATGAGTTAATTCTTGAAGGCTAGTTGCAGAACTGCACTGAGAATGTCTGGGCGACTGCTGCTGCCTATATACAGAGAGCAACTGGGGAAGTCATCACATTTGCAGTCTCCCTTCTGCTGCTGTTTGCCAACTTCCCCTGCCCACCTATCCCAGAATCCTGACCAACATCTTCCCTGTGATGGACTTTAAGATTCTGTGGCTTGGAAAACTTTCTACAGCTCATTCTTGTAGTTACAAAGGCTCTCATCCATAGCCCAGAAATCAGAGTGATAAGTCTTGAGAGGACTGGAAGAAAAAAAAAAAGGAAGTTACCTACCTAGTCAGCAATTATTGTCCCAGGAGGCAAATTTTTAGGGATTTCCCAAGAGAAATGAATGTGATGACATCTTCAATAAGATAAAACAAATGGTGCTCTGTTATCAGTGACTTCAAATGTTATTACTTTTTCCTTTTAAGACAGGATTTCATTATGTAGTCCAGGCTAGCCCCAAACTCACGATCCTTCCGCATCAGCCTTCCAGGGAGGTTCAGTGATGTTTAACTTAGAGTTTCTCTGTAGCCATTTTTTAAAAATTGCTGTGGTTTTCTTGTTTAAATTTTTCAATTTAATATGAGGATTTTTAAAAAAAATATTTTTGAGATTTATAATTTAATTAAACCATTTCTCTTTCCTTTCCTCCCACCAAAATTTTCCATGTAGCTCTCCTTCCTCTCTTTCAAATTCATAGACTCTTTCTTCATTAATTGTTATTGGACATATATATATATATATATATATATATATATATATATATATATATATATATATGTATGTATATACACACTCATATACCCCTACTCAGTCTGTATAGTGTTATTTGTATGTACTTGAAGGGCTGACCAGTTGGTATGCTCTTCCATGGGAAAGTCTATTTCTCTCACTCTCGGTATTCCTTAGTTGCCTGTAGTTCATTGTGTTGTTTTGAGGCCTCCTGGTTTCCTCCACTTTAGCATGTCTATTGTCCTTGTTGAGCTTCTGTTCAGGCAGTCATGATGATGAGACTTTAGGGGTATACCTTCTGACAGTACTAGGAGACACAACCACACTGTAAACTCCCTGATCTTTTAACTCTTGTGGTCTTTCTAAGCCTCTTGTTAATGTTTCCTGAGCCTTATATGCAGGAGTTGTTTTGTAGATGTATCCACATGGGACTAGGCTCCACAACTCCACTTTTTGATTGGTTGTAGTTTTCTGTTGAGAAGAGAAGTTTATTGATAAGAAGTGAGGATTATACCTACCTGTGGGTAGAGGGCAGATGTTTAGCTTGTTTACAGAGATAATGATGGTTTAGAAAAGTGATGGTTATGGGTTTTCCTCCAAGATCCATAACTTTACTAGCTCTTGATTGTTGGTTAGGTTTCCAGTACCAGGCATATTTTCCTTCTGGGTTACTGGGTCTTTAGTCCAGTTTTGCTTACCGCTAAGGTATGTGTGCCACTACTGACTTCGTAGGGTTTAAGTGCCATCCTGGGCATTGATGTGATTTAAGGGTACCAATGCTAGGTTGGACTGTCGGTTGTCTCCTTCCTCTTTAGGGTTGCATGGGGGCTTTCTGGGACTATGAAAGCTAGTCTTCAAGGAGTCAGATCAATGACCTCTTGGCCTTATTTCTGAAGGGGGTGGTTGTGTCATCAATAGGTACTTACCCTCTCCTCTGGGGATCAATCAAGGACAATAACAACAGACTGTAATGTTTTTGGGAGTCTCTTGGACATCCTTAACTAAAAACTCAAAAGTGTCTTATCATTCCTGGTGTTGGGGTTTTTGATAGATGGTCTTTGACTCTTGGAGGGAACATTGTTAGTGAAGATATGAAAATTTCATTTAAAGTATAGATGTGTGTTTATACTCAGAATTTGATATATTATATTTTGGTTAGGTAGATAGTTAATAGTATGGTTCCTTATGAGTTTTTTCAGATATCCTTACTTTTACTTTACCCTGCTGTTTCTTTCTTCTGCATTTATTTCCCACCTCTTTAGTTAGAGCCCTCATCTTTGCCATTTCCCTGATCAGATCACTTATATCCCTTTTCTCTCTTATTCCCCCATCCACCTACCTCATCAATAGTTCCTTATACTTTCTGGATTTCTGCAGTTACTCCAAATGTGTTTAATCTTGGGTTCTGATCCTCTCATATAAAATCTGACTTTGGCCACAGCCTTCCTTGTTAGTCAATATTTCTACCATTTTTTTTTCTTGGCCCCAGATCAAAAATCTTTTAGTTCTTGCTTTTCATTGTGGGGTCTTGGACTTAGGGCCTCTGCCATGTAAGGCAAATGCACACCACTGATCTACAGTTTTCAGCCCCAAGTTGATGTCTTGGCACCTGATTTTAATGTGGCCAGCCACTGTTGTAACATCCTGGAATAAAATGCTTTTCCTTCTGTGTCCTTCAATCCTCCTTAAGCAAGAAAGCCTTAAGAGAAGATTTGGTGTCTGTGGAGCTTATGGGTCATGCTCAGTTCTGAAAAGTACCTGATAACACTCTTGAACTCTTCACTGTGTAAAAAGAGAAACATTTTGTTGCCCTGTCAATCCTTCCAAGCCTCTTAGATACAAGTTACTTAGGCTTGACATTGAGAACCTTTGATCCCTTGCTCTCCTCCCCAGCACACCTTGTTTGTTGCTCACATTGTCAAACTTCCTTGGAATTTTTTAAACAATCTCATTCATGAAACCATTATCCGGCAGCCATTTCACGCCTTCCTATGCAGTCACCCATGGCTTCCTATAATGTGCAAACAGGGACTGCAGCCCATGAGAAAGGACAGGATGAATCAGATTCTCACCTCCTCCACATCCTTTCTTGCATGTCAAGACATGCAGAGAGTGTGGATAAGGTATGGGTTAATGCCTGTAAAGTTCACATGATGCCTGGAATATGGTAAATACTCAATGTATGTGAAACAACTCCCAACAGCACAAACACATGGGTGCTGTAGATGGGGAAGGCGTTGTTCTATCTCCAATCTTTAAATATACATATATATTATATAATAATACATGTTAATTGTGTGTATGTGGGGGGCAAAGTATGTGTGAGTGCAGCTGTCTTTGAAGGCTGGGGGAGGGCTTCAGATTCCCAGGGGCTGCAGGTATGAGCAAATGCACACTTCACATATGCAGGTCCTGGAAACTGACCTATGGTCCCCCTCCAGAGCAATGCTCACTCTTAGCTGCTGAGCTGTCTATCCAGCACCCCACCGCCAACACAATCCGCTCATTCAAGCTCTCCACACGCCAATCAGTGGAGTGTGTGCCTCTCTACCCTTCTTCCAGCTGCAATTTTAGAAGAGACAATGTCATGACATTTCTCCCATGGGTCTCTGGCTTCCCGTGCATCTGAGACATACAATCACATTCTGCTCCTGATCTCTGTACTCTACATGCTCTCTGCTGTGCAGATGGTTGCAAGTGTCTTTGTGCAATTATTCCAGATGGGAGGTGTTGAGCTGACCTGGATCATTATGTGCAGACAGCACTGCCACAAACCCATCTTGCTCATGGCAGGCCTGTGGCAACTAGCTCACTGTCCATTTTTTTCCTTTGTAAAAGTAGGACTCTCTTTGATGGTATGTAGTTCCAATGTCATTACTCATAGATTCGTACATATGTATGTATATGTGTTCCTTCTCGTGTGAGAAATTCTTGAAGAACCGAATGGTGTCACTTTGCATGTCCTTTGAATGCTGCTGCTCTCAGCATATTTTAATGAGAGCGAATTGTATTGCCTATGTCACTAAGAACAAACATACTAAAAATTGTACATCAGAGGTTTGGTTTGCTCGTTGCTTTCTCTTGGCATATACTTTCTTGCACAGTCAAAATGCATGCACTATTCTTCCCTGAATTCTTTCCTCATGTAGAGACAATAAATAAATAGAACACTGAACATTGGCATTTGCCATT